GGAGAATGAGGAGCATCCACAGAGGTGTATACTATATTCAATACTAATGAGTTCATCAGATGCTTCTTCGCCATTATACCGAACAAGAGACGAGCTTCTCAAAAACTGTGTTGTGCAAAAGTTCGCCAAACAAATTTATATGATTTGTTAGTTTTGAGGGGTTGTACGCGTGCAAGCCTTATCCACAGCTTTTCCGGGCGAATTTGTGATAAATATTCTATGGACGTTATTTTGCGTGTAAATAACATTACGGAACGCCACTACATGCCAATATTTGGCCCTGTGCTACATCTCGGAAACCGGCGAATGGAAGCAAATCGGTGCTAGTCGATAACCTTAAAATTTCACCCGCTTCGACAAAATGCCATAAGGAACATGTTATCAATAATTGCTGACAGATTAGACTCATACTCCGTGAAAGTCGCAACTTTAAAAACCTCGTGCTTTCGCCCAGAATCATTAGATTTTAAACGAGTTTAAGCTGCCCTGTTTTAGCAGTAACTACTGCGTTAACATTCCACAAGTTCTGATATGGACATATCAACTTCGAATAGTGCCCATTTTTGTAGGACTACCCCCTTCCCGAGCTTTACAGGGCACCCGCAACTAGCGTCGGTTTCCCTTGATATTTAGTCTAAAATCATGATTGCGCCCACCAGTTGGGAAAAGACATTATTGATGACGAAATTAGCTGTCAACATTTCACTCACAAAAACGCGAGAAAAAGCGTCCACTGCGGTAAACCAGCCTCACGTGGAAGGCACCCACACAGGGAACAATAAACTTGGTGCATTTATTGGAATATATATGTGTCCTGATATTATTCGTATCCACAAAAACTATTTAATTGTTGAACCATTGCCAGGTTATTCACCGATCCTCGGACGCATACTGGAAATTCCTCTGAAACCGTAGTTTGAACTAGAAAACCCTTAACATGGAGTTTCAGTACTTGTTGGTATTTATTCGGAGCTTACAAATCGTCATCACATTGCTCTCGGTATATCAGTTCGTAAGTTGTGCGCTTAGAGAATGTCCACTTTTGAATGGTTGTGTGTGGCTGACTTCACCGGCTGTCAATACTTCTATAGTTAAACTTGATTTAGGTGCCCACAACGGTGACACTATGCTGATTGGTTCGCCATTAAAAACACACTAGTGGCTGGTTCCCTATAAGCGAGTTCATCATGAGGTTTTACACCTGAAATTCCTAGGTATCAACACTAAGGCCTCGGTAGATACCCGTACAGTATAAAATGGCGTATCCAATTGAACAACTTTTCTTCCCGCGCGTTCTGCATCCGCTTTATCGCCAAAGCATAAATTCACCGAATTTCTGCCCAGTCTGAATACTGAATATTGGGCGCACTGAAGTTAACTGTCCACATTTTTTTTCAGTGTGTCTTGTCTGTTGCCGTTTTTATCCACTGGCTAAAGCGAGAGTCGTCCAGGTACATTGGGGGATTGCAACTGGGGGCAACTTTTCAGGAATGCAGATTTCCAGAATCTCAATTTATTTCAGCCTTCCCAAACACAGGACGGAAGCACAATATTCCGTTTCCTCTTGTGTTACTTACGGGTAATCTTAGTGCAGCGGACTCAACATCTGCGGCTTAGTAGTCGTGAATTACCATGAATATCTACAAATATAATTTTCTGTAATACATAGTGTTGTTAGGTTTGTACGACTCATAGAGCAAGTTAGCTCAGATAGGCGTTCATAAAAATTTTGGGAGAGTTTAAAAGGTGAACCTCCTGGAGATGCTGAGACAGCTAGAAAGTGACAGTAGACACAAGCCGTCCCTGAGCATTTTTTAGATGATCAACGCAAAAAGAATACCATGGTCCAAAATCTGGACAAAGATTTGAATAGACGCACCCTTGGTATCAGTCAAGTCCGACCATCAGCATTCCTCAGAAACCATAAGGAAAACAGTCCCCCAAAACTTCGCCTACGAGGTTTTCGATGTTCCTTAATGATGCAACGGTGGAGCATTCTATGCGCATCCTGTCCGACGGACTAGAGCAGAAATGATCATGTCGGTTGCCTGCACTACTTTCCAAAATACTTGCTGCACGAAACGCAGATCCCCTCTCTCAGAAGTCGAAGCGAAGACAGAATGCCTCCAGGAGCAACTAAAAGGTACGTATATGACAATTACATGAAATAATGTGGCTAAAAAACAGAAAGCAAAATTCTAGTATGGTAAAGGCCGCAGTAGAAAACGGACCCCATTTTGATTTGATATCATCCAGAGTTTACCTAAAATGACCAAGAGACCTGGCTCTAATGTTGCTGTCTGATATTTAATTCTAGCGAAAATACAAACCAATCATGAAAAGTTTGCCTCCGCCTGCCACTAAGGAAGCTCCTATACAGCCTGGGTTTACTTTCTGGATTTTCTTCAAGAGGCATGACTGAGGAAACTGGAAAGACCGGCTCCTGCAACCATCCCAGTTCTAGACACAAATTAAAATGTACACGAGTGCGTAACAGCTGCTCCAACCATACAAGTATCCCTCCCTCTCATTTTACTTCATATTCTACCCACCACATGTGCTTGAAGTGCTCTTTAATCCCAGTCAAGTGGATGGCCCAAAATTAACTCCTCCTCGACGGGTTAAAACAGGATATACTCCCTCTGACCCTACACTCTTGCACGCACCAGCTCCAATTCTGGCTTCTAGTCGAACTAGACACACCGTACAGAGATATTACCCATAGAACTTATTGCCGGAGATAAACAGCTCGGACTTTGTACTATAGGCAAAACAAAAATGCCCTGTTTCCGCTAGCATTTGTATCACATTTAAATTTAATGCGCGACAAACCGGCGGCAAAGTATCACCTGGGTACAGAAGGTTTAAAGTTCTATACCCATGCACGGAATATCACTGGAATGAAAATGCTACTTCCAGCCCTATGTAACACTTCAGGTAGAAGCCTAAGCGACACCCACCATCTACGTGGCCGACATTGATTCTGCTACAGGCATTCTGGACCCAACTGACTGGTACGCGTCGGCTGGACTAGGATTGTTGACGAGTGCAATCGGAACCTTGAGGAGCTGTTCATGTACTACCAAATTCAGCCCCTGCTCGACCGCTGGTCTCCTAAGTAAATATCTAACATTAGCCTGTCCAATTTACTCACTTTTGTCACCACCTCAATTGCGGTAAACGTTGAGCTTTTTCTCCCTATTAATGCCAGCAAAGCAAAACGAGAGAAGGCAAAACCATAAGCTTCCTGCCTGACACATGACAAGAAAAATGTGACGGCGAAAAATGAGTAACCAGATCGGGTGGAGCAACAGAGCTGGCGTCATCCAGCCGGTAATACTGAAATAAAATAAACAACACGCGAGCCGGAACATGAACTATATAGAAAGCTATCGAATTTTGCGGTAAGTACAGCACAGAAATGGTTTTATTCGAATGAACGATTCAGCAGATTTGAATGAATATGCCATGGAGACAGCTGGGGTCAGGTGGGGATTTTCTAATATTTGCATTTAATGGAACGAGTGAGCTAGAGGGTACGGTCCAGAGAAGGGAGGGAATAGTTGCGGATGTGCTATCAAACTGGGTATGGCAGTGTCGTGACATCACTGGATTGACACGCTTCAGTTTTTGGACAGCCCCGCAACAGACGTCACATTTAAGGTGAGCAGCGGGATTCACTTCATGCTAGCCGAGAAAACAAGGTGGAACAAAGACGATATGATTTCGGAGCGTTTTTCGGTCTGTTTGGATATCCTGTGGTCGTAGATCATAGGCCAGTTGGAGTGAATAACAGGTAACCAGCTCGTCCGAACCGGGTATAGCCGAAGTTCAATAATTTGAAAATAAGGGGATTGGATGAGACTAGTAAAGCATGGTGAGTTTGAGGAGACATCAAATGGGAAATAATGTGCATTGATATACACTGAAAGAAAGACTTGACGTCTACGGCCTGACGTTATGCCACCCACCGATTGGAATAAACATTATTATTATTATTTCTATCTGGCAGAACAAAACGCAGCCGCACTTGCCTCCTCAAAGCATTCATTATTTTCTCAACTCTCAAGAAGTTCCCAAGCCTTTGACCGCCAATTTCTTTGGGAAATCGACCGGCACCTGAGATGTTCACGGGAGACTATCTGTAGGCATTGTTTAAATAAGTTATACGGAAGTAAACCAGTTTTCTTAGTTAGCATTGCCGTTATTGGCGTTATTGGTTGTCTTGTGAGATTGGGAAATGCCCAACGAACTCAACCTCGACTATGATAAATCAGCATGACTTCTGCTACAAAGTTTTCAGTTGGTGCTCGCTGTTTTTTCATTTCGGCTTATGGGTTTTCAGCATTGCCAATAATTGGGTTTGAACATTCCCTACTGTTCGAGCCGGAAACCTACAAACACACCGACTTATGAAATTTCCGTCCTCCGTTTGGGTTTCACACATGTTGTATGTATAAAGTAAGTGAAACGTCACACCTTCCACTGACCTAAATAGTGACAACACATAATATGGGAATGAGCCAGCAACACGAGCATGGCTGTTAAACTGGGACGTCCAGATGACTGTTAGGTAAATGTAATGTTCTTTAGAACCCGGGACAACTTCAGACGGAATTTCCTTTCACCAGGAGAGGGAAGCAGCAAATTTAATTAGCAAAAAGGCTGGGAAAGCGGATGCCACAATGTAGGAGCGCAATTGCACAACTGCAAGCTGGAAGTGCACTTGGTGTATGGCTTACATTCGGTCCATCTGCATCCCAGGAGAGTAGTAAGACGTGAGAACCACTTCATAACTCATGCATAAAGCCAAAAAATGATCACTCCGAATTTCTGCACGAGCATCTTCTCACTAGACCCATTAAAAATGCATCGAAAAAACTAGGTTATTCCTCTAGCAGCGATAAGATCAGAATGAACTGAATAGTGTGTTTGAACCTATTAAATTGAGATCTTCATAGTTGACTGTAAATATTCACCAATTTGTTTGACGAAATTTAATGAAAGATCTCAGGAGCAGAGTGACTTTATTCGGTCGGGTTGAGGGCAATAACGTCGTGTTCTGTATTGACAGATCGGGAAGCATAAATAAATACTGGGATGTGGTTTGCACGCACTTGGTGGAGCATATATGCTTGCTCGAAGCTAGACGCAAGCAAATGAGGTTTAATGTGATTGTATTTGATGATCACGTAGGTGCTGGTGTTGGTACTTTTAAAAACTTCCCCAGGTGGAGTGTTTTCGATCAAAGCTCATCAGATTTTCTCCACTTATCATCTTTGAACTCCGCAAATGGTTGCAAAATATGGCGCACGCGTCAACGAGCTATCTACTGCCAGCTATTATGGCTGCATTTACGCAACCATTTGTTGAAGCGGTCTACATGGTAACGGTAGGAACGAGTGCATTGGTGAGAATAGTGTTCAATGCCCTAAATTTGCTAACTTTGTGTAGGAGGGACCCGAGTTATTCCATCATCTCCCGGTTCTTTGCAATTCGCGGCCACTACACTCGAAATTGCTTGTGGAAAATAACAACTTGCATATGAAGGTCTTGCGACTCATGGCTAAATTAACTGCATACTCATGTTGTGCCAATAGTTCGCTGTGCCTGGTGAATGTACATTTCCGTGGAGTTTTTGTTCATATAAATCCAAGCAAATGGAGTCCTGTGATACCGAGTCAGCTTTTTGGAAAACCGAATGACTGTCTTCAACATATAGTCCGTTCTTGGATCTCTTGGAACACGAGGATTTCCGAAGCTCCGGGGATTTCTAAAGAAGGAGAAGGAGTAAAAGTAGCTATCTCAGATTGTCTCAGCACAACTGAAACCAAATGTGGTGAGCTTCCGCTCAGATTTTTCAATTCCAGGACGCTAAACTATTCTGCCTTATTTGACGTACAACAAGTGCGTGTGAAATGAAACTCATTTGATCGTTGTATTGGTGTCGATGCAGCTTGTAAACAAAAAGTTACAATCTGGTGTAAAATTAAAAATATTCCCACGTGGTTCGGCGCACAGCGGCTGGAATAACAGCAGGCAATGAAAACCCCTGTTTAGTTCCATTGTTTATGCGATCGACCCTGGCGTGATACTATGAAAGCTGGACTCTACGCGGCTGAACAAGTAATATGTCGGAAGGTTTTTTCGGTGGCCTCAAAAAACAAAGCCTAAAAAATGCGAGGTTTATCAAAGAGAGCGGCGGTATACGCATAACAATAAAATTTTGAATGTAAGCTGCGATTAGAGATCCTTCTTCTTCAACACATATCAGACTACCAAAAGTCGGATAGTCACTTGAAAAGCTGCCGGACTTGCCAGCTTAAGTGGACAAAGTTGCGCGTTGGGAGCTGGAAAATCAGCCAACCGCACAGAGGTCAATGGAGGCACATCAAAATAGTGCTTCAGAAGATAAAAAACGCGTTGTGTGTCAGTTTTATGCAGCCAGAATAAGTTGTTTTTTACAGTATTACACTAATAGGGCCTTTTGCCAAACAGTAGTACATTCTGTTGGTGAAGATGTCGTGGAAAGTCGTAATGATTTCCCAGTTTTCCAATTTCACTTTCTATGATTTTATGTTTTTTCATTTGTTAGTTTTTTTCCGTCAGGAACCTGACCTTCTTAAATCTGTTTCTAGATAACTGAAAAGGATATCAGTTGTATATACATCAGGTGACCCCTCTCCGGTTTGCACTGGAGAGAAAGAAATTGTAGACTCCCAAATGTTCAGCAAAATAAGTGTCCTTTAAGCCCGTGAATGATCCTACTCCTCGGATTAGTTAAAGAATGACGGCTCGAAAATGAAAAATGTCGGGCACTTCACAAATAAAACTTCTAATTTCGCTTGGAATGGATCAGGGTTGGGGGCGTTCCACGCATGCAGGCCTTATACTAAACTTATTTGCCGGTCTGACTCCCGTGCATTAGTCGTATGGTGAGAAAGAATTATGAAAGAGTCCTTCAATGGTGTTGGGTTGCTTCTCAAGACTGTTTAAAAGATCAGATGGCCAGTTTTCACATAATTTCGGTCAAATTTCTCCAAATTTGGTGTGCAATTTTTGGTCGTTTGTGGTTGTCCGCACATTTTCGCTATTGTTATCAAAGCCGGTGGCTGCCAGATCTCCTTAAAAGTGAATTTCTTTTGGTCTATTATGCGCCTTCTGGCACATTGGGTTTAATTATGATAAAGATAGTATTGACTGACGTAATGTCTTGAGTAGAAACTGGACGATTTCATTGAAGCTCGGGTTCAGCCCAAACGCTTTTTGGATGACGCAAATATCACCAAGGACCGTTTGTGCAATTACATAATCAGACATAAAATTTGGATAAGGCTGTTCTCCATCATGCTTGCAGAGATTATCATAGAATTTTCCTCTCAATGTGGGGGAAAATATAAAAAATCGGGAGAGATCGATTCGTGTACTAACGGTTAGGTCTACACTTCTATGCAACTGATATCAATTTTGTGGCGCTAGATTGTGGCCCCATTTCAATCACTTTAAAATGTTGACATTTGGTGTGGGTCACCAACCACCTCATTTTTCCTGGCCTAATTATTTATTTAAAGGTAGCTCAGGATAGCTGACGTTCACCTTTGAATTTCACCGTTTTTACTCGATTTGGGATTGCTCGGAATTAACGGATATTTTCAGTCAAATATATGCGCCTTGTTGAACAAGACTGCTCGCCTACCCAAGCTATTTAAGATCTCATTGATGATATATGGGCTTTCGAAGAGCATCACACTTAATTTGATATAACAGGCCATTAGTGTTGTCTATTACGTTGATGGCAAAATGTTTGCCATGTTATAGTGTTTAGCAAAGGGATTAATAACCTGTAGGTTTTTCCTCAGTTGTCATCAGTTTTTAGACGTTGAACCGGCATATCCAGTAAATTTGTTTGCGTTGGTTTGGTTCTGCATTATGTGTTTACGTCCTAATTTCTTGGCTATTGATGAACTTTTATTAAGCTGCTTAGTTATTTGCACGTGGCATAGAATGTCTGTTTGCATTTATTATACGGACAGCAGTTTGTGAAGTAACATTGTGAAATGTTTGAATAGAAAGTTATTATTCTCAGCATCTTGGTCATTTTAAAGGGTCGTTTTACTTTTTATAAACAATTTACAATTATCTGAATTCGTTCCACAATTACTGATTTACGCAAAACACGCTTTTTAAAAAGACAAACTATTTTGTAAGTAGCCTACCGAAGTAAAATTGAAAAACTATTGCACTTACAAAAACGATATTTAATCATTTTTATAGAACACCTCGAATATCAACCAAGCAACAAAGAAAAGCCGCCCGTTTGTCATCGATCAGTGCAGTCTTCAATAACAAGTGAGACGAAGAGTGTAAGAAAAGATATAGCAGGAGATGCTGATAATTCGTTCGAGGCAGTGCTAAAACCAGCTTTGTCGCCCTTTCGGAAAACGAACAACACGAATACCTTTTACACAAAACGGTCGTGTGAACGTGATACCTATTCTGCTCCGGAATATCTTCAAGAGGATTCAGTGAACCGGGAAGCGGACGTCAGTCGGTATCGTGCAGCAAGGTTAGTTTTATCACCACTTTCAATTCAGACTAATTATGGAAAGTGGATAACTAGAAATGGCATTAAAATGACTCAGTATCCTCTGCAGTATATACCAGAGTACAAGCAGTGCAGACTTGATTCAAACGTATCTTAATTCAGTGAAGAAAACATTAGTCAGGTCATAAATACTACACGAAAAGTAGTTTATACAACCTCAAAGTCTCGCAGCACTTTTATTTGTTTTAAGCTCAGTGCCTTTCCAGGTTATTTTGTTTTTGTGAATTACATATTCAGAAAAAATGTCAGTGGCCGCAAGCTGAAGTGGTTGTAAAGCTAGACACATAGGACAGTCCCATCCATAACTGTTTCAGCCTGAATAAAGCAAAGACAGAATCGGCAAAGAACAATTGGTCTTTGACATTAGTTTTGGCGTTTTGACCCTCACGCAGATGCTCCATTGCAAACCAATTTAGTTCTAGCAAGAAACACAGCAGCTAAATCTTTTATCTGTAATATTCTTGGACTAAACGTACGGCACAGGGGCGGTTTTATTTTTGTTAACGGACCGCACTACCCAACAAGGCATAACCGAGTTCACCATCTTGCTAGACACCTAATGTAATTAGTTGGGTCACCTGTGGATTGACATGATAATGGGACTTCGCCGGCATACATATGCAAACAGCAACCACTACCTGGCTAAACCAGGTTGACTGAAGAGTTTTGGGTGTTTTAAATGATATCTGAATCTCTCAAAAGTATACATGGGAGATGATTTTGATCCGCGATTCAGCTGGCATCTGATATATATATACACATATGTAGCAACAAAGGATTTCATGTAAATTGTAGTTGATTTTTAGTCAGCATCAATCCGGTCTACCTAAATAATATTGCTCCCTGAGCAACAAAGAGCAAAGACGTTTGTGATGCGCTTTGATTAAACGTGTTTACCGAAAGTTTAGAAGGCTGGTTTTTATGTCTCAAAAGGGGGAAAAATTCAGCGGCCAGGCCAAAAACAAACTGGAAAAATAGTGGGCTATTGCCCTGATTTTCAAAGACAGCTTAGCCAAGGATTAAAACAATGCAGAAGGCAAAAAGTGATAGTGCTACTCATTTGGAAGTTATTTCGAACACCGCAAAACGACGCCAACAAGAAAACGAAATCTTTGTACATTTTAGTAGAAGAAGCTAAACAGTTCATTGCGGACTGCCCGGTCAATAAACAGGAACGGTATACATGAGAAATTCAAGGCAACCTGAAGGTCACATCGGGTTCCTTCTGGATACGCAACCGAGGTTTGAAATGATTGATTACGGTGGTCTCAGTGAACTTGATAATACGTTATTCTCGCGGCTGAGCAGGTTGGTGAACGATGAGGTCAACTTCGTCAGTGGATGTTTGCCAAAGGCTGACTGCGGTAGTTTGCTGAAGCTTTTCAATGTCTTGGTCTGCCATTAGAAAATGGATTGAAAAAGAACATGTGACCTCTTTGTGATATTACGATGTCTACTGCTACTGTTCACTTAACGCCTCACACAGTTTCATGTTAGGTAGTAGATATTGTGGGGTTTCGCCTAATTAAGTTTTCCTCCCTGGTGGTAAGCCTCAAATCATCTTTAAAACCCAGATTACCTCAGAATGTCTTTTGTTTCAGTGTTGACACTTGAGTTTTAGTTGGCTTTTTTCATTTAAAGTAGAAAATCGTCAAAACACTGCCACAGCTAGGTGTTTTTTATTTGACTTCCCGGCATCTTTTGAAGAATATTCAACGCAGCATAGGTAGGACAGCTGGTTTAACTTCAAATTCTAGATTTCCTTTGTTTAATTAGCAAATCCACATGACTTTAAAATTGCATTCTTATCAGAACAAACAAATATTGTGTACATCACATGAGTTATTTTTCATTGTATTGCCATAATTACAGCAGAGGCATTTTTCAAATTTTTTAGTCATCACGATAAAGTCACGGTTTTTTAGCTGAACAGCATCTCGGGATGTGTATTCCAAAACGAGATTATGTGAGCCAATGACATAACTCCCAAGGGTGTTGCGTATCGAGAAAGAAAAATAAAATTCTTAATGGCACCATTAAATGACGTTCGTGTGATATGCGTTAGTTTCACACTGTGCAGTACTGGCCACGTGTAACCAATCAACTATACAGAAGAAAAATTCACTAAAGTAGGAAGCTGGCAGAACTGCAGACGGAAGATGGTTTTACTGAACAACTGGAAACCAGATGTCACGCTTATTTAGTAATTTAAGTCATTCCGGTCTAACGTTTGTTTTTCCGGCCGAGTCGTACTAAGTTGCAGTCAGTTCTTGGGACTTTCTGGTGAATGTATTTTTGCTTGATATTAGAAGTAATGATGTACAGTTACAAAAGTAATTTAGCAAAGAGAAACATCAAAATTTTTGAAGTGAACAGTGCTTTACGGATTTTACATCCGGTGTCCGACACCATTTGATTTCGGTGCCCGTTTAGCCGTGACTATGGTCCCTTATTGAACGATAAAAATACGTCACCAATGGTAACTCGCGGCACTTTGACTACTCTCGTTTTATGGACACTGAAGTGTGGTTGCTTTGGTTCACAAAGTATTGTTGCATCGCGTTCATCTATAGTTCACCGGGTGGCTGTCGAACTGTTTACCAAGCTTGGCGACAGCCTGCAAACGTTTCGTCAATAATAGAGCAGATGCCGTCAGTGCTCAATTAAGTAGTATTTCGCTAAAACTGACGCCAAGACCGACAAAAAATACCAGTAAAAGCAAGAAGGACAATGTTATTTGCCAGGTATACTGTTAAATCTGCAAAACGTTCTGGGGGAAACTGGGAGGACTCCATGTATTGAAATAAGGGAGCATTACGCGACTATCCTTGATCTTCATATAGGGAGAACTTAAGGGCCAAAAATGCATCCTAGAAAGTGTGGATTCTTGACATGACGAGCACAAGGTATGAAAGGATTTTCAGAGGCACTATCCATCACAACGGATTCGATCAAAGGATGCTCTGAGCTGAATCAACTTCATGCACGAGCAACCCGATCGGAATATTCCAGAAGTCGACTGCCGGGGATAAAACGGGAATGGGAGACCTCTTGGGGTGATATCATAGGGATCATCAACCTGAGCACACAGAAGCCATGGACAGCAGTCAATCAAACAGTTACAAGTGGATGAGAGCAGGGAAAGCTAAGCTCAAAGCTGACATGGTTGGGCTAGCTATGACACAGTGGGCCTCCTGCCGAACAACCAATTGTAATCGACGGTTGGTTCCGGCTAGCAGCACGTATGTTGACCTACACACCACTTCTCAACGAGGATAGATACATTCAATAAAGAAGGAAATATCCGCATAACCTATTTGACCATATTTTTTTGGTGGGGAAAAGTTTGCTACCCGACATTCAGATCAAGTGAAAAAACCGGGGGGAAAGAAACTACCATCTAAGATAAAATTTGGCGGAGAACTTGACAAATACCGTGAGGACGTTTTGCAAGGAAGGCCTTAGCTTTACACTTGTTGCAAAATGCTATATAGATGGCTTCTCTATTGCTGTTCGTATTGAAACCACAATGCATTGTTGTCCGCAAGCCAATGTGGAGGAACAGTTACATTTTCTGGATTCACTTCAATGGAGTACAAAACCGCTCAACCGAGACTCTTCTATGGAACAGGAAGAAGATACAGTCCAGGCAAGTTGAAGCTTCGAAACGCTACTGAAGAGGACTCCGAGGGATTTCATTAAAATTTCACAGTGCCAGAAATCGGAAAGAAACCTGCAGCGTAAAACGCCCTAAAAAGCCCGTCAGCTCTTCGCAGATCACGCGCGATCTCATGACTAAAAATTCAGACAAAGGCCAAGCACAGTTGGTATCAATTGCAACCATGTGTCTCTATTTGGCAGTCGCTCTCAAAAATACGGCGCCAGATAAATCTGCGAGGATTATTTCCCACGTAGTAGCATTACCGAAACTCACCTCTAGTCTGTCAATAAGGATACGCTAATCGTGGTTCACTAGTCAGCATTGTGTTCACAAACACTGCTGCGGCAGTCCATCTGGCTCTTTGGTTCTGACCACCTGTCAGTGTTTTTGTATCCCATGGTCCATCCGTTCAAAATTTTTACTGAACTGTTCTTACACATATTATGCCTGGGTTACGTTTTGTGGTGGAAGAAAGGGAAGTAGATCAAGCAATCCTAGGAACATATTTCATTTCTCTGCATTAATGCGATGGATGAAGGGAACGCAATGCTTCGAAATTCAGGCTGCACGACTTTGATACTTACCTAGTGTAGTTAATGTGGCGGTCGGGGTAGTCGCTTGTTCATGAACCTAAGTGCAGATGGCCAGAGTTACATCTGTCAAATGAAGAGATTTGGTCGGTTTTCAACTTGACTTTTGTTTTGGGTAGCTTCAGAAGTCATGAAACACCACGTCAAACAGGAAGAGATTTATTTGGCTTTAAAGAGCATATCAACAGGAACTATTTTTAGCTCCGCTGGAAACAATATCATGATTGTTTGAGTTAGCATACGAGTGCTGTCAAAAACACCCAAGTTATTTACGCACGCGCAGACGAACGCATTTGCGCTGAAGAGAAAACCAACTGTTGTTCCATTGAGCACTTATCACAGATGTTCGTGCTGCCCACCAAGATGAAGTTGTGACCGACAGTTTATAGCTTTACTATTTTTGGGGCTCTGTTCAGTTTTGGGTGTTATTTAGAGCAAACATTAGGTGGATGCCACTGAAGATGAGTCATTTTATATTCTAAGGTCATTTATGAGCCGCAATACTGGTTTCGATCGATGGTCAGACAATCCTGAATGGGCTCCATCAGCTGGTCTCCTTCTCCTGGGCCGTTGTGTTCTGGCACCAAATCAAAATGATTGTGGAAAGTTATATCTTGGAACAGTTATATCGGAGGTGAGTCACCTGTCCGTGCTGATAACTTGGCGGACTAAAAATATACTGTTAAGCCAGGGGCCATGGAATTGCATCAGAGATTTAGCGTCATTTAAACGCTATTCACTGGAAAACACCTTCACATAAGTGAGTGACTGGAATGGAAGCTCTGAATGATGATAAACAACAGCATGACGGGATCTGACGCTTGGAGTTCCAAAACAGAAAATCCAAAAAGTGATTCAAATTGATCATTTTATGTGGTACAACCCCTGTTAGCAAAACTATTACGCCGATTCATTAAAACAAGAGTTGACATAAGACTGCTTTTTATCTAGTCTAGCCATAGAATACATTTCCCAGTGTGGTTAGGCTGAACAGAATCCAGTAATCCAGTTTGTGAGAAATTTCACGTTATTCGGAGAGATTTTTGGTCAACTACTGTCAACCTAGTTTTAGTAATCATAGAATAGCTGCCTCGGGTATGTAGAGGTCTATGGTTCGTGTTTATTAGTCCACCAAGCACGAGCTCTCAGAATTTTCGCTAATCAACATTGGCATGTGTGCTTGTGCTCAACATCATAAACACAATGGAGCAACGATGTAAGCGTATGCTGTAAGTTAGTTTGCAAAGGATGGTTGCTAAGGGGCGGGGAAGTTCAAATTTATGCAAACTTCAAGTCCATTTAGGATAGATGGTTTCCAGAAAACACCATAGCAGTTGCTGCTCTGCGGTAATGTCAGATTTTATCCCGGTATTGTGGCTGGTTTGAGATAATTCGTTCTAAACCAGCGGTTTTCTTACTTTCGGAGTACGTAGGGTGTGTGTGCGTTACATCGTTGTCGGTTATTGCATCAGTTCAGTTGGCTACGAAGCATGTCTATGTTCAAGCAGTGCTCAAATTATGGTGCTTTTCATGAGGCACCTTATTAGAGTCCCATCAGCAATTCATTGTCCAGTAATACAGATTTGGATCAAATAATGTACATTCAACGTGCATGTGAATTTAGCTGATGGCACTCTACACCGCTTCTCCTTGACAAACTTGGCACTTTAGGTGAACGAATCCACGTTTCTCGTCAATTTTGGGCATCCAAATGAGAAGTCGTTCTACACTGAGTATATTCAGGAGATACATGTGATGGATATGCTCTCCTATTTGGATCTTCATCGGCATGAAATTAGAGAAGGTGATTCCGTTTTGGTTCCAAAGTCCGAATTGAAACAATATGACGAAATTGAATGCGAACCTGGATCGTCGTCATATTATTTGGAGCCGTTTTACATGGCGACTGTGGAAGACGGATATGAAAGACGATGCGCAAAGAAAAGTAAGTTTGCTTTCATGAAAAAAGGCTAATATCTTGACTAGATCCGAAACCTTTGCGTATTCCGAGTATGTTGGAAGGAAATTTAGTGGATAATCTATGAATGCGCTTGCTCTATGAGCTGAAGAATGGTGTGATACGACTGTGTTGACCAGTGAAACACCACGATTTCGTTTATACACGCACGGTCTGAACCACTAGAGACAATGATGGATTCGTAAACCCATCCCGATTAAAAGCTCCGGTGGGTGCCAGGACTCTATGGTTTATCGTCTGTTATTGTCACGCTGATTGTACCAGCGTGACGCCTTCGCGTCTTACGAGTGAAACATATCCAATAGCAACCAGAACGAATCAGATTCGTTGGCAATAGTACCAAAAACGAGCTAGACATAATGAGCAACAACATGTGATGCGGAACCTTTTGTGCCTTAGAGAGGAGTTAGCTATGGTAGAGATGTTGGTGATTAAGTACCGCATAGTGTATCAGACAGTCTGACTATCGGAGATTTTCCAACAAGGTGGCTTGATGTCTGAGTTTATGCAAGAAGATGAGAGTACCAACTGATTCCGTCTTTTAACTTTGTTGGTCCACAAGGTGAATAAAATAATGAGAAAATTTAGTTAGATAAATTATTTTCCCTCTTCCCATCTTGTATCAAATGCAAACGAACAGTAGGCTATAAATTTTTGTTTAATTCGTCTCCAGTAATCCTGAATCCCTATTGTTATATTCCTTCATTATGGGAAAAGTGACTCGCCAATTAACAGTTAGGTCTTTGCAGAGATTTAGCTTCTGAAGTGACTAGCGGAAAGTTTTCGAAAACGTTTTGTACTCAAACGTTTGGGGCTAAGTGCAACAGATATTTCACGATGCTTTTCAAGTAACTTTTCATCCATAATCGGCTGTGAGCCGCCACTTTTAGTTCATTTATTTTACCCGTGAATATGAACTAGTGTTCAACATATTCGTCATAAGCAATTACGGGCAAACTACTAGTCAGTAACTTTCCTTCTTGCCGCATATATTTAGCGGACTAGGACCTTATCAGCATGTTCGGATAAATTAACAAGCAAAAGTAACCAATACAAAATCACAAAATCACAATAGGAAAAGAATCCATAGTCAAATGGGGACTAACGAATGTGTAGATCCAATAGTCCACTACACCGATCCAAACGCAGTAACTGGCTGTGAAAGGAAATATTCACTTGTCGAAATTTCCCACAGATGGTTCCGCGTGAGTGATATATTCCACGGTAGGAAAATTATTCACGGCTAAAAAATGTCACAGGGATTTATTGTGACGTTCAACAGTTGACACAAACACAGAGATTTAGTCCCACTGGTTCAGCAGTCAACAAACAGTTCAACAAAGCGTACATACGCTCGTTCAGCAAGAAGTCAGCAGGTCGCACCGGAAAATTGTGTATTCGTAACATTAAAACAAACGCCATGATACAATGTGAACGACAGTTACAAAGTGTGGTTTAAGTTCAGGGAGAATGGTAGATGTGGCAACGGAATGCAGACACTACACATACATGGTTCACACAAAGAGACCCTTCTTGTAAAAGGGGCCAGAAGACAGAGGGTGAAGCAGTTGACGTTAGGGAGACAATAAATTTGGCTTGTCCAACACTGTAAGTACTCAGTGACAGCTTGAACTGAATCTTACTACGAGAATTCGGCTGCTATCGAACAGCTGGTTGCAGTAGAGCACAACGGTAACCCGGCTGGACAGTGAAGGTCACAAGTTCCTAAATCACGTTTATTTGCTCACCTCGGATTGAGTAGCCTGGTCGAAGTATCTGTAACGGGAGTTTAAAAACCTCTTTTCTTTGATTGGAGAGGTGAACTGCCGACTGATTGGTATGCCCAAGTGGTTAGAACGCGAACTTACTGACCGGAAGGTCCGTGGTTCGAATCCGACCTCCGCCACTCGACTTCCCCTGTCTAGGCTTGGGCAACCTGGCAGTATCCCAGCTCTCGTGCTTCCTTCAGGTGGCATGGCAGCTAGGCACCGGAAGGGTGTTACAGCTGAACGCTTTCTTTCTTTTTTCTTGTTTGAATTTAAGGTGCAAAAGACTAGTGAACATAGTGAATCGCGGGCTACGCAAATCCAACATCAAGAATAATTTTCTCCATGCCGACTGACAGCTTCCACATAGCGAGCATGAATTTCTATCATAATAGCAAATATAGAAGGGCTGCTGGAATGCTTAAGTAATCTACATAGAAGCCGAGAAGTTAGGACCTATACAATACCGTCTAGTCATATGCGAACTCTCTGTCATCGTCAAACGACTGAAGTTCCCAGAATTTCTACAGGTGTCAAGTCTTGCCCAGTACATATGCATTCATGACTATATTGCAACCGGTTCACCAGAGTACTCAAGTATCTTGGACAACAAATGTAAATAAGTTTTGTAATAAACAGTGCAGAATAGGATGCTAAGGCTTTTTAGGAAAGTGGCTCATTAAAGAGCCTCTAGTTCGAGACTGTCACAAGAGATAATTTTTTTATTAAAAGGTTGACAAAGCACGCGCATGGGAGAACATTCAAGGATGACGGAAACATGAATTATCACAATCCAGTCACATACTTTCCTCCTAGGTGCAACGTGTTTTCAATGTTCTAACACAGGTGAACGTGTTTTAACTTGAACTACTCATGAGTAGCAAAATTCATTTTAGTCTTTTTGGACGCTTGCTCGCCTAGACCAATTCCGTCAAGTGTGACGGTGGAACAAGCCCCCTCCCAAGCAAGCCTTCTAAATACATTTTTCCCCTCGGCGGATTATTCACAACGGACATTATCAGTGTAGGGCTTCGTTAGATCTTTCCCGAAATAGTCACTGTTGGTAGCTCGCAACGTCGCCAACTTTGGGAGATCACCAGATCTCTCAACAAAAGAAACACCTCAAATTCGCGTATTTTAAATCCTTTCTTGAACAATCTAAAATGTAAAATCCGCGACTTTAAATCCTTTGAATACTACAACAACAATAAAATTTCTGGAGGATCAAATGAAAGGAATTTATTCCCTTCAGAGGTTTTTGGTTACAGTATGGTTTTTGTCTGTCCTAGAGTTTTACCCCTCTTTTGAGACTACCCTTTAGACAAGACCGATTTTATCTGGGATTCTACATTGCTTAAACCTCTTCTATAAGGAACCGCTTGCTCAATCAGCTATTATATTTTAACTGAATTACCAGCGGGAGCAACCGTAATGAAGAAAGTACTTTATGAGACCGACCAAAATTGATCTTTACTATTAAATATTCACCTCTTACAGGGAATTCGCATTTGAAGCATAATTTAGACAAGTGGTTGACAATGGTCTCCGTTGGCGGTGTAGCTTAGCTCCATCCACTGATGCTGGTTTTTGTTGATGCGGGAAAAAAAACTATGCCGCGAATGATCTAAACAAGTTACTAGGTATTATCATATGCACTGATAGCGCAGGATATCAATTCTTGTAACAAAACATCATGAGCCATCTGTGTGAGCGAACATTTCGACGTGTGAAAACCCTCCAAGGCTTAAATCAAACCATCCCTTGACGATAGTTGGGAACATTTGTCCGAACAGAGGTTTTGGGGCGGCTAAGCCTCAATGGTAAGATTTCTAAGACAAACAGACCTTATAAATGTGTAACGTTAGTGGGCTTAAGTGATTGCTCAGCACTAGTGATCAGAGATCGGTTCTAACGGATGGCTACTTCATGGGAGGACACCTGCACCTACCCAATCATGACTGTAGTCTTTGAAGATCGCCAACACACAGTATCACTTGATAAATTTGGGTCAGGGACGATAGTCTTCAACCGTCACACAAATACATCTTCGGGCAGCATCTAAATTCGAGTCTTTCCCATCGCTAGACACGGCGCCATTGGAAGGGACTGCATTTAGGAGGGGACTCTTTCTGTTGGTCTTTTGAAGTGTCTTACTCCAGGCTCTCTCAACTAGTTTCTGCAGAGGGAGACAATCGTATATGAAAGGTAGTGTGCAATCAAATGACATAATTTTCTAGTATTCTAAACTTTACCGGTTCTGTGGACGTAACGGGCACCGCTATGCCTAACCGTAAGGCATTTAAAGAAAGCCAGTGTTCCTATTCTTTAAACTCAGTTTGTGCTGTTCTCCTAGCTCTTCTGTTAAACTTCTCTCGACAATACCCTCATGGTGTGTGACGAAGAAATTTCATGTAGTTATAGCACAATCCAAAAAATTGTTGATCACTGCGCCAAAATAGTGGTTCCTGATTTCTTTGAACTCACGTCGACGCAGGCCGCGTAAATTAGTCTCCAGCAGTCTTCTTGAAGAAGCTTGAATTTGTGTGGCTACATCGTCATTGGTGTTAAAAATGGCAGTTTCATACACACTTCACCGCATAAGAGCCATTTTCGGTAAATGTTTTTGGGCGTGTTCTTCATGGATGGTGACGATGACATAAGTGAATTCGGTTGCCGGGATCAATATGCTTAACTTGAGAATGTTACAGACATGCCTACAATCATACGGACAATTCGTGAGTAGATTGCGTGTCCGTTTGCGTACAGAGTGCGTGTGCCGATGTTTCAGCCTATAATCGCCAATACCCATGCAAACACGCTTCATTGTATATCAGTACAATAAATCTTCATTCGTTGTAAACACAAGTACAATTTTTTGACCACTGACACTCCAGAAATTGGAATTACTCACAATACTGTCATTCACAGGCGTTGACTAAAATCGAAGTTTCGGTTGTCGCTCTAGATAGTGCTTATGATTTGCCGGGGCTGTTCTACCATTTGCCATGGTGACAATATCAAATGTGTTCCTTTTGGAAAAAGCTGATTGTGATTCAATCTGAAAAGATTATTGGTATCCTGAGTTTTAATGATATATGTCTGCTCTCTTGCTGAGCTGGATCATTGAGTCGCAAACGTTTAATCACCAGTCACGATGACACCATAAGTTCATTGAGTGGAAGTACGCACTTCTACTCGTA